TGTGTTTTACTTTTTAATTTGGTTGAATTTAACTTGGCGCCGACTGTTGATATCAAATCTTGTATACAAATGATAAATATCATTAAAATTAAGTAAGTAATAAGGTAGAAAAACTTGGCGCCTACTATTGATATCAAATCTTTTATACAAATGATACATGTCATTAGAATTAAGTAAATAAGGTTAATATCACGTAGGTTTTTAAAGATGGTTCTACTAAACAGCAAATGTGATTGGTCAGTTTCACAGTCGATTAAGTAATTGACGTTGGTGAAACTGGTCCAAATGGTTTTCTGACCAGCAGCACCCACTCTTAGCGCTTTTTTCTACCCTTTTTTTAAAAAGGTAAGTTATATACATACATAATTATAAAAGAACAGATTCTTTGTACTGAATTATAATTACAGATTTATTGAAAGGAAAGGCCTGTACCATATCTGTCTGTATATATCTTATAAAAAAATAACAAGAAAATTATTTGTACATTTCCTTAAAAGGTAATGTGTATTAAAAAAAAATATATATATACATATAAATATATATATATAATAACAATATATATATATATATTATTAATAAATATTTTATATTATATATTGAATAATATTTAATTTTTAAATATATAAGATTTTAAACCACGCACGCGTCAAAGGCCCTCTATTATCGAAAAAACGAGATGGACATTTTGTCTGGTCGACGACGATGACGTATCTTAAAAAAACGTGAAAATTCACAAATTCGGACTTTGCATCGCAATATCTCCGCTCGTAGGGCACGTAGAAAAAAAATGAAAGCACTTTCATCATACAATTTAAGTTTTTCCTGTCGATTGAACGTATGTAGAACTTAATCGGTTCAGCCGTTACTGAGATCTGATCATCACGACCCAGAAAAATCTCAGTTTCGCGTAAAGGAGGCACGGCAGTGTCGCGCGCTTGGCTTAGCGCCGAGACACTACCGTGTCTCCAGATCATATAATTGTCTTAATAAACCATGTTTCTTGTCTAATTCTTATTTTCGCATTAGTATTTTCTTTTCCGATTTCCGACGCTTCACATAATTTTCCGCCGCACCGTTCCGACGCGAATACTCTTTCCGCCGAACCTTTTTTATACGACACGCATTTTTTCCGACGAGCTAGTCCGAATATAAAAATTAGGTAGTTACACGCTTTTACAGACTTGATTCTCTCGCGATAGGGCGCGCCGAGATTTTTGCTAACAGACAACGGCACAGAATTCGTAAATAAAATTTTGCGAGAATTCGTTGCAGAGAACGGAATTAAACATACGACGGTGCCGCCTTACCACCCTCAAGCGAATCCGGTTGAGAGGGTGAATCGCGTCCTTAAAACCATGATTGTCTCTTTTCTAGATCGCGACCACCGCGAGTGGGACGTGCACTTAAATGATTTTCGATTCGCGTATAACACGGCGTATCATTCGTCTATAGGATCTTCCCCCGCTTTCTTAAATTTAGGCCGTGAATTAGAGCCTAGTGATTCGCTACGTAGACGCTGCGATCCGACGGTTGAGGTTGAATCCCGCGACGCGCGAGAGTGGTCGAAGCGTATGAAAGATTTACAGTCACTGCACGAGTGGGTTAGAGAGAACTTAGAGGCCGCTTACCAGAAGCAGGCTAAATATTATAATAGTCACAGGCGCGATCGAGTTTTTGTTGTCGGCGATTTAGTGTGGAGGCGCCGAAATGTATTGTCGTCCGCGACGCAGGGAATAGCTGCCAAATTGTCACCGAAGTTCCAGGGACCTTTTAAAGTTGTTGGCGTTCTATCGCCTGTTGTATATGAGCTTGCTGCTCTAGATGGTGCTTCTGCGGGAAAGATTCACGTAAAGGATTTGAAGCCGTATATCTCTCCGGATTGAGTAGTGAAGTTAGAATTTTAAAGATGACCTTTCCCTCCCTCCCGTAGTTGCCGTGGCCATGGAGGAGAGGAGGCGAGAGTTTGGGGAAATATATGAATGGGTTTTCGCCCTTGTTAAAGAAGCGTGCCCAGGGTTCTTCCCAGACCTATGGGATTTGTGCCGCGCGGAGAAAGATCATCTGAACTCCACGGGGGGAGCCGTGGTGAGAAAATGGCCCTCCATGCAGGACGTCGCCGTGCAACACGATCTCAGCAGAGAGGAGAGGTGCACGCAAACCCAGGCACCTCCGCCTCCCCGCGAAGGACCCGAGAGGAGCCGGAGTCGGGGAGAGGAGAGACGAGAGCCTCGCCCCCGAGAGAGGCGCCTACCGGACTTGCTTCGAGGGGGACAGGCTGACCGTCCGAGGGAGCGGACCCCGATGGATCGAAGGAGCAGCACCGCCCGCCCGGCCGTGAGGGGGTGTTGGAACTGTGGGAGCGACGGCCACCGATACTCGGCGTGTCCGCGACCACGCAAGGGCGCCGAGTTCTGCTTCGAGTGCGGGCGCGCGAGTAGATATAGTAGGCCGGTTCTAATCCACTATGTGTTAGTGCGTGTATGTGTGTATGTGTGTCTGTGTGAGGGGGCAGGGAGGGGGAAGTGCACACGGATACAGAGCCGCCACCAGGTGGCGTTGGTGTCGCGCCGGGCCCTAGAAGAAAGGGGGGGGGGTAGTACGTCACAGGGGGGGGGTTCTGCGGGAAGGCTGACTTTGTTCCTTCTCTCCTCCTACCTATTGTCTCTCGTACCTATTGCGCTCTCTTTCTAACCCGTAGTCCTCTCTCTCTCCCACTCACTACAGTTCTGTACTTACACTATTGCGCTCTCTTTCTAACCCGTTGCACATCTCTCTCTCTCTCTCCCGCCCATTGCAGTTCTATACTTATCCTATTGCGCTCTCTTTCTAATCCATTGTCCTCTCTCTTTCCCACCCATTGCAGTTCTGTACTTACCCTATTGTTCTCTCTCTTCCTTTCGTTCCGTTTCCTTCTCGCACGCGATTTAATTAAACAGATATTTTCGAATTTTAAGATATGACTAAGCAATCAATTATTTTTCAGTGCAACTGCTATCGAGCATACCGTACAATATATCGTAAGAATGCACTCTAACCGTTTTTATATCCCTTCTTTGTCTATGGTGACGACGCCAATAATAACAATAGAGTTTATCTTTACGACTGTGTTAAAATCGTCCCTTCGTTGAAACTTGTCGAAAACATATCAAACATGTTATATTATGTCTTTGCTAGATCTTAGACCAAAAAAAGAAGTGAAACTTTAGAATTTAAAATTTCTTAAGTTTATGAGGATATATAATTTTTTTTTAAGCAATCCTAAAGTAAAGTTAGAAAAATGTACTCTGGTTGAAGAGATGGGTTACAGTATGAATTTCAGTCCAGAAGCATTCAGTCTAGAAGCGATCTTTCTTAAAGTCGTATTGCATAGGCGTGTGTAAAGTTAGCACTCCAACATTGGAATAAATAATGGAATATCTAGCAGATATAGTTAATAATATACGTGATGAAGTTTCATGGAGATAGTCAATGAAGCGTTTGAAGACGTAAATTTCGAGGCGATACTGGACGAAGACGATGAGGACGTGTCAGCATTATCTGAAGACAGCGATTATAATAGTGATCAGAGTGAGGAGAATGAGGAGAGTAAAGATATTAAGATCAAAGTAATGTGTCCTGCAGAAATAATGGCACTAAACGAGCAAACGAAAGAGTGCGCGATATATTTTTATTATAAAACTAGCGACGGTACATCAATACTGTGCACATCATGTATGATGAGAATAGCGGATAATGATCATAAGTATGCCATACGTGAACATGTGATCAAACCACACGATGCCATAGAGGGCAAATACTGCTCGGACTGCAGACATCCATGTTTTACAATATTTCCAACGATGTGTCCAATTTGTATGAATTAAGAAAAGAGCTTGAATTGGACACCGTCACCATTAACGTTATCAAAATCTAATTCAAACGGTATGTATGTTTGTTTACAAATGCGTTTATGATAATTAGTGTTAATGCATTTTGTTCTCTTTTTCCAGAAAGCGCTGCTGATATTCGATACCCGGAGTTATTGCTCAATGCCAAGTTGTATTTTTTTAAATATTTTTGTATACATATATATATATATAATGTAATAATAAATGGTTTTTTTTTTATATTTTTAAATTATTTTATTTTATTTTTTTGTATATAGTGTAACAATAAATGGTTTTTTTGTATTTTTAAATCCCTGTTTGTTTCTTTCATCCTTTCGATCAGCTAATTACGATAATATTTTTTTATTAATGTAATTTAAAAATGTACAAACATGCAAATTATACTACTATTGAACAGCAATTATTAACTAATACTTAACTAGAGGAAAGGCTTGGGGAAAAGAAATTAAAACATATTATATATATTTAAAAAAATTTCATATTTTTATTTATTTAAATTTGATACAATTCTTTTTGGCGTTGCGACCACCAATTGTATATTTTAAATACATTTCGTAACGCACAGTTCTTAGCATGTTTTACACATCGCATAGTATTAGTAACATCTAGATTATTCAGTGATTCTATATCTTCGTAATCGGCATCGAGGGTCTCAATGATCAAGTCGTCGCTGTCGAGTATATCGGCCAGCCATTGGCGTTTTTCACGTCCTTTAACGTACACAATAGCCTTATTGTCGCCTTTCCATTCCGCACCAATTACAGCCATTGTAATCAGACGTTTCGTCATGCTGTACGGTATCATTCCGTCTTCCCATTGCAATCCATGGTGATAAGCACCCAGCCAGGAGGCGCAATACTTTTCTGATTTTGTCAAGTAATTCCATGGTATGGGGCATGTAAAAATGTAATGAGAAAGAATGGTCCCTTCTCTCAACACCGCCACTTCCTTTGCGACAAATTTCTTTCCAACGATAAATCCTTGCAGATCGACAAACGTTGGTATAGTCATGACGAAGGACTTTTCGAGACTGTGCTCGATCACAAAAAAATCGTGGTTTTTATATCTTATATTGAAAGGGGGGAACATATTTTATTTTGCAACGTTGTAATTTTATGTAATCTTGCGCACTACGTTGGACATTGGGCTGTATTCGATCACGCGATCGTGTATGATGAGACAATAGGCAGTAGTATTCGCGGGTACATTCTCTTTGAATTCAAATTCTAAACGCACATCCACGGTGCCACTTTTGACGGACTCGTTTTGTCGAGAGCAGTCAATGATTACCATAGGAAACATTTTCCTAAAAGCATCTGTCTTGAATAACGTTTCACTTCTTTCGCGGAGGATTTGATAGTAAGATGTACGGAAGCGTACGAACATATCATACAAAATGGCGGTTCTGTTTTTGTCAAAGTCTAGATTTAGATCATCGTATGGAAAAAATTCAGAATTCAGATAGAGTTTCACGTTGGTTAATTTACAATTGTCGAGGAAAGTTTTGTGTACTGACATGTTGTTTTTTTTATTAGTTTGCAGAGCAAAGATGACGTATCGCGGCTTTTCGAGCTGCGTCGCAGTCTTGATAGTCCACGAGTGCTTCGTTGTGCTCGGCAATAGAGGATACTCGTACAGATCCCACGAATGGAAACTCATACTCAGATATCGTCCGTTCTCCAAGATACGCAACATAGACAGTTTATTGACTTCGTTCAACGTAACATTAGGCATTAGCCACTGTATCTTGAACAGTTCAAGTTTCGGCTCTTTCGCTGCATCTCCCACGATGCAATTATTGTCGTTGCGCGCTCGTATCAAAATCAATTCGTGACGCGCGTTAATTACCACACGTTTGTAATCTTCGCAAAAGCCAAACAACATGTGCAACGGTACGTAAAAACTAAAATATTCATTCTCTGTTACTAATCTTCTTACATCGTAATCAAACACCGGATGTACAAATCCGGCATTCTCCATTTGATGTGTGAAGTCAGCTGAATGCGTTGAATAGCCCTTCAAAAGAGTAGTTATTCCAACGTTTCTATTACGATCAATCTCAGAACCATTGAGTTCGTATCGAATTTCCTCAAACATGAACGCCACGCAATTAATTCCAAGCTTCGGCCGCTGTTCCGCATTTTCTTCTTCTTTTGACGTAAGTCTTTCTTCGACATAGAGACAGCTTTCACAGGGTAACGTGTATGTTACCTGCTGTTGTATGGGTATCCTTATTTCATCGCTATGTCCAAACGTTGTGTTCACGTACGGATTGTACGTGTGAAACTTGACGATGCGATCGTCAAAGATCGGCTCGCCTCCAAAATCCAACATATCAGAAATCTCAAATATTTCGTACGACAAAGCCCAATGATTGTAAAAATTTAACGTTCGACGCAGTAAGTTTCTTTCTATTGAACGATCGAATGTTTTTAATCGCAACAGTCCCTCTGTTAAAAATTATGTCTCTCGTTTGTTTCGTTTGCTCGTTCAAAACAAGCATCTCACGTTATCGGTGTTGTATCACTTTATCGCTGTTGCCTTCGCACGTGTAATCTAACGGTGATCTCCTCTCCGCGAAAATTGAGCAATCGTCCGTCTTGATCCACAACGCGAACCGTCAGGTCCGTAATGCTCTGTACGATGATCGGAAGGTAAATGATCTGTGCAGGTCTTTCCGATATCTTATATCCTGGTGGCACCCTCGGCGAAAACTCGTGTATCGTATGTACGCACTTGTCGTTGCTGTATGCACCCGCGGTCACGTTGCATTCAATACGAATGATGTTTACATTGATGATATTTATCGACGTGTTCGATTCATGCCACTGTTGTGGTTCCAGCACGCGATTGGACGAAAATCCAAACAGCGATCCAATGTTGTGAGGTTTGGTAAAATTTACTCGATAAGCGCACTTGATCTCGCTTTTCATCGTATTGTTATTGGCACGAATAGTCAAAGGATACTCTTCATCCTCTTTGCGAAGTTTTTTCTCTCTCACATCGTTAGAACGAGATTGTAGAATTGCAAGTCTCAGATACTTGTTTAAGTCATGTATTTCGTACGATCCTTCGGGAATAACAATTTCCTTGTCATCTTCGTCGAAGTAAAACTTATTATTCGATGAATTTACATTAGATATCGTGTGGTAGGTTTCAAAGTCCGTCAGACCGAGCTCGTAATCACCATCGCTCAAATCTACTGCTGGAAAGTAACAGGCCGCGAGGACGTTACTCTTACCGGTCAGCGTAAACGTCAGTGACATGTTTGAACGAATACTGAGTTGAAACAGTGCGATGTCAGTTCTTAAATTGATCATCAACCATCTGTAAAAACTGTAGGCACAGTTGTCCACAGTTACTTTGATCGTATCGTTGATAAGGCGTACGATTATATTCGATTTGCGTCACGTTCAGATATCGCACCAATTCTTTCGGTGGCCAAAGATTGCCGAAACTGTCAAAGTAAATAACACGATCTCCTCGCTTCGCGTACGCCACCCAATGAGTACCTGATCCCTCGGCATTATCCAAATTTACGATACCGCTCTCGTTTCGATACACTCCCTTTGTCGGTAACGCAGTACGCATAAAAATACCTCTAAAATATGGAATACGCATACGTTTCGCCAGTTGTTGTAGTTGTACGTTGGTAGTTACACCCTTTGGCATTTTTGGCAATTGTTTGACGTTTTTTTTTTCCAATCTTTTTAATTTTTTTCCTTGAGATTCCGCGACCACGCTTGTACGGGGCGAGATAAACTCCATGACCTTCCATGACGCGATTATGACGTTTCAATTCTTCCAGTTGACGTTGCGCGGCTTTACTATCGTTTATAGCCTTCGCGACTCCTGCCGCGCCACCGACCAACGAGCCTACGACTCCCAGCAGCGGTAACATAGGTAAGATACCACCGCGTTTTGCTACCGGAAGTATTCGCTTTTTCGTAGACTTCTTTTTCTTCGTTTTCAAGCCCATACCGATTTTCGTCTTGGCTTTCATAGCCGCCCAGACAGCTGTAGCAGCAGCTCGCTCTCCGAGAGTCGAATCTTTCGCGGTAATGCGTTTCCGCGCCTCCTCTGCGGGTATGTTCTCAGCTACGTGCCGTTTCGCGAGATCTTTACACCGCGAATAAGCTATGTCGTGTTCGCGACACGCCTCGCCCAGCGGATTAATGCCTCGATCGCCTCTAGCCAATCGCTTCACTAAACGTGTTCCTGGACCGCAAAATTGATATCCGGGAATATGCAATTCGATCGGAAGTGCGTTTATCGCGTGATTTAAAAGACCGCAACCTCTTGTCGTTGACATTCGCTACAATCTTTTATAAACGGCGCTGGACCATCGATGTGCGATCGATGACAGGGCAAATTGTAATGTTTCAAGCACCGACGATGTTGCTGTACCTCTGAATCAGCCTTTATATATTCAGGCAATCTGTCCCACAGTCGATCTATGTAATTCTTAAACTCTCGTAGCAAAATAATTTTCGGTATGTATTCCAACTCTTCGGCTGTTAAACTATGTACATCGCAGTTGTCCGACACGATAAGAAGCATTTCGATTACTGAGCGGTTTCGCTCAACGCGCTACTATAAATAGGTCCGCTCTCGATGTCGCTTTGTTTTCATTTTGTATCAGTGTCGTGGAAGAAGAAGATATGAAGTTCGTGCGACAATCGCAGACGATCAAAGTGACTAATGTCGACGATAAAGTACAGACTGAAAAAGAAATGTGCAAGCATGGAAACATGCTTCCGATTTCTATACGCGTTGTCATCTGCGGTCCATCGAACTGCGGTAAAACAAACGTGTGGATAAGTTTGCTGGAAAGTCCACATGGCGTACGCTTCGAGAACGTGTACGTGTACTCGAAATCGTTGCAACAGCCAAAATATCGATACTTGGAGAATTTATTAGAACCGATTGAAGAAATAGGTTATTTTACATTTTCCCATAACAGCGATGTAGTACCATCGAACGAGGCGCTTCCAAATTCCATTTTTGTCTTCGATGACGTAGCATGCGACAAGCAAGACACGATTAGAGAGTACTTTGCGATGGGTCGACACGCGGATGTCGATTGTTTCTATCTCTGTCAGACGTATGCAAAGATACCGAAGCATCTCATACGCGATAACGCGAATCTATTGATTCTGTTCAAACAAGATGGTACCAACCTTAAACACGTATACAATGACCACGTAAACATCGACATGTCTTACTAGGATTTCTGTGAACTGTGTCGATGCTGTTGGCAACAAAAGTATGGATTCGTAGTGATAGACAAAGACAGTGCTCTTACGAATGGGCGATACAGAAAGGGATTTAACGAGTTTGCGATACCGTAACGTGGTTAGTCGTTGTCGATACGTCAACTACGAAACGTTCTCCCGCGTAAGTGCAACATGGATAGCAGCAAAGAGCTCAAGGATCGCGAGAGAATAGCGAAAACGAGTGATTCGATTCGTAAAGAGTATCGCGCTTTAAAAACAGGCAAAATAGACGAAGATATAGCATTGGAGAAACACTTTAAGCCTGTCGTCGAACCTCTAAAACAGATGTCGAAAACACTGCTGCTGGCGAGGAATCTCAACCGATTAAGAAAGAAGTCAACAGTACGAAGTATAAAAATACTAAGAAAAGAAAATTTGAAGAAGAAGATGATGATGATGATGATAATTACTGGATGGATAATGCATGGCTTCAATTAACACCGTCAAAGCAACGTACGAAAGAATCGAACGTTACGTCGGATTCATTCAATTCTACATCGCTTGAACCGCGTAAATTATCGTACGAACGTTCGCACGTACCCGCAGTCGAAGACGTTTATAAAACGCCGAATGAACCGCTTGAAACATTAGTTAAGCAATCTTTGCAAACGCGACAATTTTGTGAGGAGTTGAATGATCAATTGGGACCACTCGGACAAAAATACGTATACATGCTTCTCAGTGGTGACAGAGAAAAGGCGATCAATCACGTTCATAGCGTATATCTCAACGAGAACGACACGATGCTCGGTGACAAACGGTTCGATGTAGACACGAATGACTTTGTGATCATAGATGGAGTAAAGTACAAAGGGACACCTGGATTGTACGAATTAATTTTCAAGAGAATTCCCGATGACGCTATTTACACAGAGAATGACAAACTAGCGTATAAAAGTATACTGTTGGCAACAAATGGTCATAGACGCAGCCATAATGCGGATAATCCAATATTGGGTAACAAAGGGTACAAATATAAGTATATAATAGCACCCATTGTATCAAGTAAAATACAAGTTAGAACAGATATACCATGCGCCCTAAACAACGAGTCAGGTAAAAGAAACGGAGGAGGAAAGGGCGTAATACCACTCGCCATGACACTAAACGACAATAAAATCGATTATATTCATTGGGACGATCCTAACGAGCTCGTGGATCGCCTCCGATTGCTCGAAGCTTCACGTCAAGCGGGTCACAACGCTCACGATAACGAAATTTTGTCCATTATCGAGGAACTTCGTGAAGCTGGGCTTATTATAAATTGAAATGGGATATGCAGTCGTCTTTTAGTCGACACTGAAGTATCGGTCAACAACGTTTGCGTAAGATCTTTGTGACATT